GTTCCTCAGATGTGGCCCTGGGCCTGGATATAGCTGTAAGCAATTGGTTTCTCATGTGTGCAGAAATTGATAGCCAATAATGATCAAGTTTCAAGGAAATTTTCATGGTGATGATATTCCACGTGCCATTTTGGTCTGGGTCACACTGGGCTGTTTGACAAGAAGGGGTTTTGGCTTAACAGCTTGGAAGAGGCACATTTGATAGTGGTCAGTTAATGGACCCTTGAAGGTAAGTCTATGCAGGTTGCCACCTCTGGGCATCATCTGGAGAGGTCCAGTCCTGAGAGTCAGAGGTGCCAAGTTCTCTGCCAAATGGGAGGAAGTACAATAAGGCAACATTATTTCTACATTTCTCCCCTGAAAGGAGTGAAGAGAAAGGACCAACCCCCCAAATCTCAATTTTCTCACTGTTTTAGGTAGATAAATTTACTTATTTTAAAACATGGATTCCTTTTTTTTGAACATTTAAGTTAAACATTGTATAGAAAAAATATATCAAAAAGTGGCTCACATGCACAAAGTAGGGAAGTCTCCCAAGTTAGTCACCCTGTCCCCTCTGTTGAATGACATCATGACTTTTCTAAATCTGCTCTCCACGCCATCAAGCTCACATGACATAATCATAGGCATACTGTGATGGTTGTCAACTTGACTACATCTGGAAGAAGGTAAAACCCAAACAGCTGGGCCCAACTTTAAGATATTTTCTTGATCAGATCATTTAAGGTGGGAAGATTCGTCTTAAACCTGGGCCACCTTCTGGTGCCCCCCCCCCAGCTGAAAATGGCAAGGAAGAAGGAAGCGTCTGCTGTTTGCCTGCTTACGCTCACCATCTCTGGAAAGTTCATCTACCCTGTTGCTGACATATTCTTTTGCTGGTGTTAGAACCACTTCTTTATGATACCAACATATACTGAAGACCAACAGCTCTCTCGGAATTCTCCAGGACTCTATCCCTAGACTGGAACAGCTGAGACATCCAGTTTTGTGGACAGAACATCTACTGGTTTCTGTTATAAGATGGCTATTGTTGGACTACCTGGACCTGTAAGACATCTTAGTCCACCCCTTCTCTGTTCTTTTCCTTTAGAGAACCCAGACTAAACATATCCATAGATTGGCAGACTTTCAGCAGATGCACGTGACCCTTAGAAGGCAACTATTGCAATTTTGCATGTATTTGTGTCCAAACTGTCTTAATAGCTTTTCACCCCAGAGTTGTGTGGCTAACTTCTTAGCAGCTCACCACTGCCCTCTAAGAGAACCCAGACTAAACATATCCATAGATTGGCAGACTTTCAGCAGATGCACGTGACCCTTAGAAGGCAACTATTGCAATTTTGCATGTATTTGTGTCCAAACTGTCTTAATAGCTACCCCTGATCAGCGTACCTCCACCAACAGACTGCATTTTCTCTCCACGGGGCAGTTAGATACCAATATAATTGGCAAAGGGTGTTGAGGGAGGGTTTGTTCCAAGCCTCTTTTCACTGATCTAATATTGAGCCAGGTCTCCAGATCTTCTTCTTCGCTGTGACTGGGTCCATTGTCCCCCCTTTTAGGGGAACACAGTCTTGATAGTTTTCTATTAGCTAGTTACCTTTCCAACCCTCTTGAATAAAGTCATACCC